ACACCTTGCGAAAGTACGGAATGAAGTTGAACCCCGCAAAATGTGCATTTGGCGTGGCCTCGGGCAAGTTCTTGGGCTTTAAGATCACTCACCGGGGGATAGAGGCCAACCCTGACAAAATACAAGCCTTGGCATCTATGGAATCACCAAGGAACAAGAAAGAAGTACAGAGGTTGACTGGTAGGATAGCAGCCTTGAACAGGTTCATGTCCCGAGCATCAGACAGGTGCTATCCCTTCTTCAAAGTCCTCAGAGAAAACCAAGGCTTTGATTGGAGTGAAGACTGTGAGAGAGTTTTTCAGGAGCTCAAGCAAACATTGGCATCTCCTCCTGTTTTCACTAGGCCTGAGCCTGGTGACACCTTATTTTTGTACCTGGCCGTATCTCAAAATGCGGTCAGCGGGGTCTTGGTGAAAGAGGTTAACAAAGTCCAACAACCTATCTACTATGTAAGCAAGGTCCTACTAGATGCGGAAACAAGGTATACTTTGACGGAACAACTTGCCCTTACCTTGGTTATAGCAGCACGAAAACTCCGGCAGTATTTTCAGTCTCACCCTATTGTGGTGTCACTAATCAACCACTTAGGCATATACTTCAGAAGCCGGATGTATCGGGAAGACTGATGAAATGGGCAATCGAGCTTGGAGAATTTGACATAGAATTCAAACCACGCCCATCGATCAAAACCCAAGCACTAGCTGACTTCATTGCAGAACTTACCCCTAGGCCTCGGGAGTCAGGTAACAGCTCGAGCATGAGTACTAATTTGGACACTTGGCAAATTTTTGTGGATGGAGCATCGAACTCCTCGGGCTTGGGCGCAGGGGTCATCATCATCAGCCCTGACAAACAAACAGAGATTCAATGCGCTCTTAGGTTCGAGTTTGAAGCAACCAACAACGAGGCCGAGTATGAGGCCGTCGTTATTGCTCTGGAGCTAGCCCTTTACCTTGAGCTCGAGTTCGTAAAGATATTCAGCGATTCATAACTGGTGGTCGGACAGATTGAAGGATCATTTGAAAGGAAAGACGAGAAAATGAGTTTGTACTGTATGAAGGTTCAAGATCTTCAACGAAAATTCAAGAGTTGTGAAATTGCAAAAATTGCTCGAAAGGACAACGGAAAAGCCGACGCATTATCCAGGCTTGTGTTCATGGGGGTAGACGGCCTTGACAGAACAGTTCACATTAAAATCATCACAGAACCTGCATCAGTCAAATCCTCGACATCATGGACATTGACAATGAACCATCCTGGATGGACCCAATCATAGAATTCATCACAAGTAGAAATCTACCAAGCGATGCCAGGTTGGCTAAAAGCATCAGAGCTCGAGCTCTTAGGTACTGCATGATCAGCGGTGTCCTCTTTCGCAGAAGTATTACTCTTCCATACCTAAGGTGCCTCAGACCATCAGAGTCATCCCAAGCCCTTGCTGAAGTTCATGAAGGTGTGTGCTGGAATCATCAAGGAGCCAGGGCCTTGGCCTTTAAACTCGTACAATATGGGTACTATTGGCCAACTATGAAAAAAGACACCTCAGAATATGTTAAAAGATGTGATAGGTGCCAGAGGTTTGGTAATGTTATCTACTCACCAGCCGAAGACCTCACCAACATTAACTGTTCGGCCCCGTTTGAACAAT